TGGTAGACTTTTGGTGTTACCATTAATTTTTCTTAACCAACCAGGTCTTTTTTTTTAATAGGTCAAAGGTATATCTTTTTTTTTTTTATCCTCACCCGAGGACATTTTTCCATTCTTGTTCAGTTAGAGTGGGAGGGAGAGAGAGAGAAACATCGATGTGAAAGGGATGTATCGAGTGGCTGCTTCCCATATGACCCCAACCAGGGCCGGGGACAAATCGCAACCCAGGTACGTGCCCTTGACCAGAATCAAACCCGCGACTCATTGGTCTGCAGGCTGACACTCTAACCACTGACCCAAACCGGCCAGGGCCAAAGTTATACCTTAAACAGCAGTATTTGATTCAGCTTTTACTATCTTCAGAGGCATTACTACTGATGAACAATAAAGAAGATCAATGGATATACGTGAACATGTATATTACTAACATATATATAAATATATAAACATAATATGTAATATTAATTTATGAACCAGCATCACAGTTATTAGAATATACACTTTTATAAAACTTCTCTGATTCATTTAGTGTTGAGGATTTTTGTCTTATTACTAACAATGTATATGGAAGTACTTCACTATACGAAACATTAATTTTAAAAAGAAAGTATTACAGAGGTAGAGGGGGTTAATTAACGTTTTCATGTTCGATCTGCTGTGAGGTTGCCTCACCGGTCTCTGATGGAAATGTCTGGTTTACGAAGCGGTTATATTCAAAATGTGACCCAAATATTTACCTTTGTTGATATGAGAAATCAGTTGATATATAATTTACTTCAACGGGGAGTGTCTACAAATATTTTCTATCTTCAGACAAATTTTGAACAAGCAACGAACAAAATAAAATTGCTGAATCGTAGATCTTAAAAGAAAACCAGCCAGTTTATTTATCGTCTTGATTTTAGGGACTTCTAACATGTGCACTTTTTTAAGACACTGAGACGTGGAATGTTAACAATCTTCATTGTCGGGAAACGTCCTAGAATGGTGCCTGAACCCTCATGCCTCACTTAGAGCTCATTTCCTCTGGTGGAGCCGGGGTGGGACAGCTGGCCAGCGTCTCCCATCGCGCGCCCTCGGTCTCCGCGCGGAGTTACGGGACGCCCTTCTGAAACCGGAGTAGGAGGGCAATTTGAAACAGGAGAGAAAACACTCCAAAAAAAAAAAAAAAATCTTGTGTGAAATAACATTTTAAACTTAACTTTGAATGGAGCTAGAGATTAGGTCAATTAATGGGCCAAAATACTGAAATGCTGTCCCTAGAATAATTCAGACTAATACTTAAAAAGTATTACTGGGTCATAAAACACCAGGCCTGGAAATTAAAGATGTTTATTCCTCATCAAAAAGTCTTTGACTGTAACTCTCTGGCACACTGCCAACAAGGGCAGCTCTTTGGGGGAAAACCCTATGCCAAAGGCCAAAGAGGCAGCTGTGTTATTCAGCTCCTGAGAGCTTCCAACTCAACACCCACACAAGCTCAATTATGAACAAATTAAAGGGATCCAGACTGAACATAGTAATTCTGGTAATTTAAATAAATAGAGGAAAGTCTACAATTAGTAGGGAAAGATTGATTTTCTGGAAAACCCAGAAAATGACACCCTAACCCCTTTGAATAAGCTAGTTACATCTAATTATTTAAAAATAAATTTCCTTTTATTCATCATTTTAATCATTCCTGATCTGACTTAAATGTGGCCACATGCACACCAGCAAAATTATCCACCAGATACTGAGGCAGAAAAACCTAAAAAAAAATCTATAATGGATACATAGGAATTAATGACACTGAGCAAAATTATAACTGGAGTTTAATACCTATGTTTCAGAGCACATAGAAAATGTTAATCAGTTCTACCTTTTTCAAGTGCAGAGAACACTTTAGAGCCATTCAGAAAGAATCAAAGATTTAATATTGGGGGAATCTACTGAAATAACTCACTGTATTAATAGAATAAAGAATAAAATGCACATAACCATTCTATGTAGGTCCTTAAAATCACTCAGTAAAATGCAACATCCATTCCTGACTAAACAAAATGAGCAAATAAAAATCTTTTCGAGAAGCTAGGAATACAAAGAAACATTCAACTTGATGAAAGCATTTCTATCGGGAACCATCATCAAACATCATGACGGACATGCACACACATAGTGGAAACATTCCTGCTTAATTTTCAAATTTATTTTGATGAGCTGATCTAAAGTTCATTTAGGAGAATAAATGCATATGAAGAGTCAAGGTAATTTTACAAAATAAGAAAAATTGGAGGAAGATTGTCCTGCAAGTTATCAAAATACAAGGTGATAGCATGATCATTTTAAAGGAGTGTTTCTGGTACGGGATAGACTAATATAACAATAAAATATCATGTCTAGAATTTTGTGTTCAATGTGACTGCATTCTAAATTAATGGGGAAAGGATGCAAAAGTCAATAAATGTTATTAATAATTTGTCTATTTACATAGAGAAAACATTTTCCCATTTCATAAGCCACAGATACCATTATATTACAGATTGCTATGCATTAAAAAAAAAAAACAAGCCTTTAAAAGTACTAAAAGAAAATAAATGAGATAAGTCATAAAGGAAAAAATGGAAATATTTGAATATAAGAAAAAAAAAACATTTTTAGCCCTGGTTGGTTTGGCACAGCGGCTGGAGCATTGGCCTGTAGACCAAAGGGTCAGGGGTTTGGTTCCCAGTCAAGGGCATGTACCTGTGTTTAGGGTTTGATCCTTAGCCCTGGTCGGGGTTGTACAGGAGGCAACCAACCAATCGATATGTCTCTCTCACATAGATGTTTCTCTCTCTCCCTTCCTCCCTCCCATTCACTCTAATTAAAAATCAATGGGAAAATATCCTCAGGTGAGGATTAACAAGAAGTAATTTTATTTTTTTACTTTTTGTTTGTGACCTTGCTGGGATTATTCCTATAAGCATAGTAACCAACCTTTTTAGCAAATTCCTTCCATTGGCCTACTGTTATACACAGAAAACTAAACAACTTACAGTATTCTTTTCACCTAGTCAAACAGGTAAGGCACTTCCCACGTTTACCATTCTGGTAGCATCTGAATTTATTCACTGAAAAAATCAGCATATTTACATATTTACAGCTCACTTAACTGTTCTGGGGACTGGGGTGCCCCAGGAGCCTCAGAGCCCTCTGCAAGACTGCGAGCTTTAACTTGGCACTTTCTGGAAGGAGCCACACTCGGATGGTTACTGTACAACTGTTTTTACAGCACATTTCATCACTTCTGCTGTATGGTGCACTCTGAGCTCGGTACCCGTGTCCTGAAGAAAACAGCGTGTGACCTCTGCCCAGCTCTGTAAGCTGAACAAACATCACTACTGTTGCCATTTACTGTATAGGTACGACAAAATACAATGGGTGTGTGCTGAACATGTATATTTGGCAAGAGCTACTTCCACTTAAAAAAGAAAGCCTCTCAAACACAAACTTTTCAGTAACAAAAAAAATCAAAAGAAATACTGCTTCTGGACCCGATTTAGGTTTTATTTTTACAGATTCGATAATATTTTTCTTCCTTAAATTAAAATAGATATTTTTTCTTTTGCATAGACCCATACTGCTGGCCACATTTTTTTTTTAGTAAAACGAGGAAAGCAGTAATATGTTTCTTCTCCAAAATTAAGGGCAGTTTTTATTCATTCATCTTCCTCATAGTGGAATTGGGAAGACAGAACAGGAAATGTTTATCAAGCACTCTATGAAAAGAAATTGCCCCTTAAATTATTAGTAATAACCTATGGCACTGTCACACATTATTCCTTTGTTTTGTCAAAGGGTCACAAGAGAGAAGATACCCCTTTTTGACCAGTGCTCAAGACAGCTTCCTCGTTAAGGCTTCTATCCATCTTTTACTATAGCTGATTAGAGCGAATGTGTCCCAGGGATCTGTTTAATTCATAGAAAATAGAATCAATTTCTCTTGCTTCATCATGACTGAACATTTTTCTGAACTCCTGTAAATGAGTTACAGATAAGCACTATTTATCAGCTTGTTTTGTGGAACATGCAATTTTGATTATTCTATTTTCTACTATTTGCCACTAATGAAATATGTAACGTGCCTCAAGGAAACACGTTTGCAGAGCCCGGCCTCGGAGCAATCAGGAGGCGATGAACAATCCGCTGAGAATCTGTTTTGCTCCCACACTCTTCTCTAATCGTTTTCTCTCTCCGGGAGCCCAGGGGAGGGCAGCAATGTCCTTGGGTATCTGCAGAGTTTCCAGGGTCCCTTGTGCCAGGGCCCGCACTACAGAGCGTGGCCAGCAGTCCCCCAGGTTCCCGGGAGGCTCAGAACTCAATGCACTTGTGTAGGCACAGACCCAGGGGACCAGGACACCCTCCATCTGGCAAACCCAGGACCCTTCTTCTCTCTAGTGTCACAGGATTAGGAGATGGGCTTTTAAAGTCATGAATCCTTTGCTGCCATTCCTGCCCATCACAGATCGAGAGGATTCATTTAACCACCTTCTGTTCCCAGGCCCTGCAACAGGTGTGTGCGTAAGACATTAAAAGGCACCAGCAGAAGCGAGCATACAGGTCAACGGCAGGTGAGTTCAATGCTTATGGTGTTTGAATACTCCGGAAGGAATAATCATATTTTTCTGACCTATATGGACCACCTTATAAAAATAAGTCATCTACTTCTCTTTTAAATAGGGGTAATTACAGCTCTGGCAGGTTTGGCTCAGCGGTTGGAGCATCAGCCTGCGGACCAGAGAGTCCCGGGTTTGGTTCCACTGGGCCCTAGAGGCTAGGGGCAAGGACCAAAAAAAAGAGGGTAATTACAATTAAGTAAGTGCAAGGAGGCAGGAGGATAGGACCACCATTATCCCCGCCTCCAGGCTGCAGGAGGCCTTGCCCGCACAGTTGGAGTTGAGGAAACAAAGCAGGACGTTTGGGAAGACAGATGGGCTGGGCTGCTGAGCTGACCTGCATGTCACCGCACCCTCGCTTACCCAGGTCCATGCTCTTAGAGGCTTTCAGATTCATCGCGTCGGGCTGCCTGGAGGGCGTCGTGCATCTGAAGTGGATGTGCTGCTCTGGAAAACACCCCGCCGAGTCCACCCCGGAGCTGCGGAAAGAAGGCACGTTTAGGGTTAGGACAAACTCTCTCTCTCTCTCTCTCTCTCTCTCTCTGTTTAAGGAAGCAGTCCTCATTTTGAACAGAGACCCTCAACAATCTCTCTGCAGCTCACAACTGCGCATTTCAAACGCATTCTTGAATCTTAGGTTTCTTTTATGAGATGTAGCCATTCCGTTTGCATGTATTTTATCACACTCTACAATTTAAGTAAAATATTCTCTGGCTAATATCGTGTTTTCCTCTTCACTGGGCTCTGCTAATTGGGAACCTGCTGTGCAATATGTCACTCGAAGTGTGCAAGGCGGCCGGCACGCACTGCCCTCCAAGGGCGTCGCCAGCCATCGGCAGGGCCTGGAAGCAGGTGACGAGGTTTCTGTGGGCCAAGCAGGCCCTTCCTTTATAAACAAATGACAGGCATATGTATCCTTTGGAGAAAACCATGCTGTTGAGTGACTGATGGCTGCAGTAGTGTGGTTTTCTACTTTTTTTTAGGTCTAGTTTCTAAAACCAATGTTAATACTGAGCAAATAGTCCACTCATCAATAATACCAAAAGGAAATAACAGGAAAAGCACAGTTGACAATTTAGACACAAGATACATCAAATGTTCATTATAGGCTTCTTAGTACTTGTCAATCTCAAAGAATTCTATTTCTGCTGAATGCTGCATTTCTTTTGCTAGAGGGTGGAGGGAATCCTATGAGGAAATTACAGAGGATAGCTTATTCCTCGATCTGGAAATAAATTATATTTACATATTTTTTGTAAGTTAAATTACAGCAACCTCCTCCCTGGGGACTCTTGTATGTTTAGAAAGTAACTCTGGTGCTCATTTTAACATAACTTGACCCTAATCTTAAACACAGTGAGAACTCAAATCAAGTATCCTTGGTGAGTCTGAAAGTACTGAGGCAGAGTTTTTCAGACAGTTGGGATTTGACACTATAAACAATAAAACAACAACAACAAAAATAAACTCTTATGAATGAAACCCTTCTAAAATGTACAGGGGATCTCGGTGTCTTAACCAAATATATCAAAATAAGTTTCATCGTTTATTGAAACTCATTAGTCATGCATATTTAATATTGCCTTACAGCAGTATTAAAATGAATGTGCAGCGACACGAATGTTGCTGAATGAATGAATGAACGGACCGTTATCACTGCAACATGGTAGGAGAGGGAGGAAGTACCTGGGCAGGCGGCACTGCACAGCGCTCAGGAGCCCAGACCTCCGCAGTGCTGCCCAGGGCTAAACCTTGGCTCTGCTACTTACTAGCTTGTGGGACCTGGGCAAGTGATCACACCTCTCTGTGCTTTGATTTCCTTATGCAGAAAATGGGTATAATTACACTCCCTACCTTACAGGGTGGTTAGATAAAGCGAGTTAAAATTTGTAAAGTAAGAATAGTGTCTGGCACAGGGTAAGTTCTATAGAAGCTTTTAGAAAACAAACAAGCAGATGAATAAATAGATCTGTTTCAGCTTCCAAACGACTGGCAGGTTCTGCTTTTCGAGTTGTCTAGGCTTTTTACAGATCCTTTGCCTTCTCTGTTTTTCGCCCTCCCGCTAGGGCTGTGTCTGAGATCCTTTCTTTCCTCCAACTTAGAAGGGTAATGCGGTGTGATGGTCAGGGCCCTGGACTTGAGAGCCAGGGTCCATGGCCTCAGTTTAGTACACAATGTTTAGAGTAGCCTACCATGAATAATAATAGCACTCACTTTATATGGCGGTTGTCGGGATTAATAAATTAAATGTGTTCGTAATGACAATAGTGCCTGGCACACAATAAGAGCTCAGTAAGTGAGCTCTTAATCCTTTTCTTTATTTCTGTAGGTTAGAGTGGTCTTTGAAGGAGGGCCTGAGGCACTGTCCAGTGAAGAAATTACACGCTTTCACAACAATTTCTCAAGACATTTACGTCTACTCTTTAGAATTTGACGTGTTTTTTTTTCCCCTTCTTTCTTGATGTCTGTCTACTTCTCAATTGATAAAGCCACTGACATAGAAAGTGTATTAGATGTGGTGTCTAGTGATGGCGAAACATGTCAACTGTGAACAAAAGTCCTTGACCCACTAGTACAATTGCCAGTGGCCTCGCATAATGGCAGCACTTCCACTGTTTCCGCCCGTCTTCAAGAACTCAGGTGCTGCTATGAAGACGGGCTCCCCTGGGCCGTGGCGTGAGGGAGCCCTTGCCTTTAACTACGGTTCTGACCTTTACACGCACTTGGTTTCTCATCCTTTGATCTCTTGTGATGATGTGGTTTTAGTGTCAGAAAGACTCATGGTCTTCGTAGAACCAGAGTCTTTAAGAGCCACAAGGTGTGAAAGGTCACCTCAACTAACTCTTCATCTTGTAGATAAGACCCTGAGGCCCCAAGACGAGACGGATGTTCCAAGGTCGCACAGCTGGCCAGTGGCCAAGTCAGGAGCAGAACTCTGGTTTCTTGAACTTTCCCCAGAGCCACAAAACTTTGGCTAAAACTGTGGCCAGTCTGAGGCACAGAGTGTTGCTGGTCCTGAATCCCAAGAAATCAAAACTTTCCCTATTAGTATAGATTTGCTCTCTCTCTGATGCTGGTTGCATTTCAGTTAGCTTTTTGTTTCAGTAGAGAGGTGCCTATCATGAAGTAAAGGAAAACCAAAGAGTTCATCAAAAAGATATAAGGACAGAAGGGTAATGTGGTGTGATTACCACATGCTATAAGGAAAGCCTTTCGGAAGGAGGTTTCAGACCAGTATGAAGAGTCCTCATTAAAACTTAGGTCGCATGCGTTTAGAGCCCCGGCTCAAGGCAGACTGTGGAATCTACCCACACGGTAACATACCAGTTAGCACACTTTATTTTCTTACATTACTTTACCAAACTACACATTAATTGACAAATTAATAATAAAAACTCAAATCTCTCCTGACTCTCGGGAGACAACCTTCCCTGTCTCAAAAACAAACAAACAAGCAAGCAAGCAAGCAAGCAAGCAATAAGTGGCAATGTCACTTGATGCAATAACATCAAGGATCTGCTAAATAAGTGAATTTCTTTGTAGATACGTTGAGATATAATCAAGAATTATCAAAGAAATAAAAAGGTGCTTTGTACATATACATGAAACAAATATTCATATATATGTATATGTATACCTACACATGCTACGTCCATTAAGTCCGTCGTAGTTACACATGCGTGTGCTACCATTTTCTTGAATGTGATCAAGTGCACACTCTTGCAATGGCCAAATGGATACAAGGCAAAATAAAGCTGGCGGCAGGCTGGCAGGTGTGTAAGGAGGGAAGTAAGTGTAGTAGGAGGCACTGTGGGGTTAAAGCCAAAGCGAGCACCCAGCGCACTTAAATAATGAGTGTCGTGCTGAATTATGTTAATGTGAAAATATTTCAGACATGTAAGTTAGACTAGCAAGATAGTTTGCCATTTTACGCTACATATTAAAAGTTCTTCGAGTGGGAGAGTGACACAGTGATTAACTGCAAAATATGACATATTTTACTTTTGAAGGGAGTTAGCGTGTGCTCACGGCTGAGCAGGCTGCAGAGGACGCTGTGGGGAGCTGCGGGTTGACGGCAGGCCAGAGACGTGCCTTAGATAAAGGCTGTGTTTTCAGCATGAACAGCCGGGGAATCCATCAAACAGGAAGGATGCTCAATGTCCAATTACACTGCGTAAGGAATAAACAGGGTATCATGAAACACATGCCAGTGTCCTGAATGCAGTGACTAATCAGGAATGTGAGAGACATTCAGGACACAGCCATGACTGTTCAAGGAGAACTGTCCGAAGTAAAAGCTGGGGAAGAAGATTTTTAGGGGCATACTGAAGTCTGAGGTGTCCATGAACAGGCTTCAGCAACTGGCTACTACGAGTGAGAGTAGATGAGTGTGCGTGTGTGTGTGTGTGACAGAGAGAGAGAGAGAGAGAGAGAGAGAGAGAGAGAGAGAGAAAGAGAGAGAGAGAGAGAGAGAAAGAGAGAGAGAGAGAGAGAAAGAGAGAGAGAGAGAGGACAGAGAAATAAGACAGAACCAAGATAGAGGGGAATATAAACACGTAGAGAATAACCAAATATTGTCTAAACTGTTACTATATTCTGTCCCTGACATATCACAGTAGAAAATATATTTCCTTTATATTTATTTACTTCTTACTTAGACACACATATTCTAAATTTTTGTATGCTAATCATTGACCTAATAGTACAAATAAGTTTAATACATCCCCGATTCCATTTTGGTTCAAAGTACAGGCAAGTTTGATCAGATCTGGCTTTCATTCCTCACGCAGTAGCAGTTTTCTGCTTCACAAGACTGGCTCCATCCCTAAAGCTGGGCTTTCCACTTTTATTTATTTATTTACTTATTTTAAAAACAGGATGGCCTCCCAGTCTGGCTTCCTCAGCCCTCCTGGCTCCCTTCCAATTCCTCCCAAGCGTCACACGTCCAAACCCCATGGCTGCTGGTCGCCTAGGCAACGCAGCGACTTGCAGGAGGGTGCAGGTCAGGAGATCCCAGGAGGGAGAGTTTCAAAGCTTTAGATCTGTTCCTTCCATCTCGAAACTGTCGTTGGCTCTGTTTCTTCCCCTTCACCATGCTGCTCCTACATTCAAGCCCTTCTCTCCTCTTGCCAGTCCCAGACTGGTAACTTTATCTTTGGCTTCTTCCATCCACTCATTCTCCACAACCTAACTCACTCAACTTGAGAGTGTCACCCAGGCTTGACACCCCTCAATGCCTCTCTGCTGCTCTCTGGGGAAGCATGGTGCCCACAGAGCATGGCAGACAATGCCCTTCCCATTGATTCTTCCCCAGATACCATATGCTTCAGCCACAGCGAACACACTCTGCATTTCCCTCTCCCATCACTTGGTTTTTCCAGACTAAATTGCCCTTCCTGCCTACTAAGCTCCTTTCTATTCTCCAAGGAACCATTTCAACACTACTCCTCCTGTAAACCTTCCTTGATACCTGCAGGCAGGGTTAGTGACCCATCGCTCTGGCTCCAACGGCATACTGTATCTAAAGCTGAGCAGGCAGGCTGCTTCCCAATGATCTGTGTGTGGTCTCTTCGAAGGAAGCTGCATTCCTGATGGGCAGGGATGCTTTCCAATCTGTTTGAGTATTTTCTGCACTGTGCCCAGTGTAGGGCTCCATTAATACTTTTGAATGAATGAGTGAGCAAATTAATGATTTAATGATCAATACTGTGGAGAAGAAACAAAGAATCAAGTCTGAGACATTGACATAATTTTGACGGAAAGATTACTGCTCATGGTTAAGAGAGCGATTCTAGTTAGGTGGTGAGAACAGAGGCTTAAACACAAGGGTCAGGGAGGAAGAGGGGGGAAGAAATGGAAGTTACTATTTCAAATCATGTAACGAAGATTTCAATAGTAAGGGCCAATTAAGGTGTTTTTTAAGATCACGGAAGAAAGAGCTTTACTGAAAAGAACAAGAAAGAAAATCTGTGAAGACAAGGAAACATCCAAAAAGGCAGCTGCTGAATCTCAATAATTGTCTCTGTGACATCTCTGAACTCTCTCTCCTGAAGGGTTTGTCTTGTTAGTCGTTAGCACAGGCCACTGGTTAGGTATTGACAGAGGGAAGGGAGGGCACTGGCGGAGCCTGTGAAGTTGGGGAGCTGCAGTCACACTCACTCCAGGGACCAGCCACCACTGCTCCACCCAACGCATTCACATCGGAGTGGGCAGTGAAGACAGGCTTCCCCCACCCCAGGGAATAAATGCCACCTCCCCAGATCAACGGGGAGGGAGAAGTGGTTAAGGGGTAGGTCCTTTCACCGGGTGCATGCACAGTAGGAGCCACCATAAAGGGGAGGAGACAAACCTGGGAGTAGATTGGGTAGGATAAGGGCAGAAACCCCTAAGATCTAGGAAAGGGATTAGATGAGGGAGGCACCAGCACAGCCCCAGGAAGATTCAGGAAGAGACTGGATAGTTCCAACGAAAGCTTACCTCTTCCCAAACCCAAGGAAATGTAGGGACAATGAACAAAAGCCCAGTCTCTCTAGCAGCCATGGGGCTCAAGCACGGCGCTGGTCACAGCCAGACCTGACTGGAACAGGGACTAAGCTGCGCTACGGCACCCGGGATGCTGGGGTGATGGCCGAGCAGCCCTGGGCCCTGGCTCTCCTCCTGGGCTCGCTGGGACAAGTACAGACCTGCGGCACCGAACGCTAGACCTCTTCCGTGGTGAGTTGTTGCTAAACCACCCATCTGGTCCTGGTGAGATACGGGGGTGGGGTACCGGGGCCAGTGACTGTGACCGACCAGCTGGGTGTCAGGGAAGTGCCTCAGCCAGTGAGCAGCCTCTCAAGGCTGCTCTAGGAAATCTCGCCACAATTGCTTAAATTCCTCCTTCACGACTGTCCATGAAATTCCTTTCTTGCAGCACCGCAAGAACCTGCTTCCAGATCATGCTGGGCAGACTTGACTTGGTCCAGGTCTTTCTCTGGCAATAGTCTGAGAGCTTCTCCGCATCCTCCCAGGACAGGCTCAGACCTTTCACTGAACCTGGCTCTGAAAGCATCCAAAGAGCCTGTGTTTCTAGTAAATATCAACCCTCCTCCGTTTACCTACTAAACCCGAGTCACACACAACTAAAACCTGAGTCAAAGCACGCTACTGTCTGTTGAAACTCTACAATAAGATTTAAGCCCTGGCCGGTTTGGCTCAGTCATTGGAGCGTCGGCCTGCGGACCAGAGAGTCCTGGGTTTGGTTCCCGCTAGGGGCATGTACCAAAAAAAAAAAAAATTTGTTTTTCCTTTATTGATTTTTAGAGAGAGAGGAAGGGAAAGGGAGAGGGAGATAGAAACATCGATGAGAGAGAACATCAATTGGCTGCCTCCTGCGTGCCCCCCACTGGGGATCGGGCCTATAACCTGGGCATGTGCCCTGACCTGGAATTGAACCGGTGACATTTTGGTGCATGGGTCAGCGCTCAGCCACTGAGCCACACCGGCTGAACTACAATAAGATTTTAGTATCTAATGAATGAAATCTGGATCCCGTATCCTTGCACTCTGGGCTGTATCCTCTGGCCGATCAGCCACAATACAGGTTGCACAGCTCAGCTGACTTTCCCTCTCTGTGCTGTTCCTTCTTCCCTTCCTTCTCTCTGAAATTCCCCTTCTCCCTGGGCTCGCCGCATGTCCTTCTCCTGCTCATACGTAAGATTCAGCTCAGATGTTTCCTCCGCTCCTCTATCTAGAAGCATTTCCTCTGCCTTAGAGCCCAGAGCGTTTTATCTGTACCTTCTGGTAAATGTCACATTGTGCCTGTATTCTACTTGTCACTTTACCTTCTAGCCTACCGTCTTCCTGAGGGTAGGGTTTACGTCTCATCCTTCTTTGCATTATCCCAACAGTTTTGCACATTCTACACACTAAAGTAGAATAAATAGAATTATTTTTACATTAAAATTTTAATGCCACCAGTCTGTCATTTTTTAATTCAAGATTGAAGCAGGCAATGGAAATGAATGAACAAAATTAATACATCCAGACAGTCTTTCAAGAAACCCCAGAGACAGTGATCTACAGCATTATTGCGATTATCACTCTAGGTTGTGAAAATGTCTTTGAGTAAGATAGCAGTCTTCAAAAATGTTGGCATTGGAGATAGCTAAATATAGGTAAGTTTCCAGCTAATAGAGTTAGCTATTCTCTTGTGTGGCTTTATTTTTAGCTGATTGTAATAAAAAGTGTAATAGGAATAACTCCAGCATTGCTACAAGAAAAATGAAAAAATTTTTCACAGGATTATCATGGGACATAGAATGAAATAAAATACACATTTTTAAACAGCCATAATAAATATAGAAAATAGCAAAGGGGCGATTTAATGATTTTTAAAACTCATCAGAAGAACAAAATCTATGAATTCCACTAGACAAATGGTGTGTATACTTAGTAAATCTCTCTCTCATGCTTGTGTGACTCTACAAAATATTGATTTTTGGGGGTTCTATTACAAAATGGATATAATATTGGGCACTCTTTTCAATATTTTAGATTATATGTGGAATTGCTTTAATTTTTAGATTCTATTAACTTTCTTGGAACAGCTATTTTTGAAATACCTTTAGGGTTTGCCAATTACAAAACAAGACAAATAGAAACCTAAGCTTTATGTCTTCTCAGCTTTGTTTTATGCCTTCCCATATAACTTTTCTTTGAGTTCTGCTGTTCTAGTTTTTAACTTGGCAAAAGAAAAGTCAACACTTTTCTTAAATATTTTATAATATACGACGGATCTTAACAAATTCCAAGAAGCAGATTATGAACAATAGAAGCTGTCAGCTCTGAGTAGCTTTCGCCAGAAAGAAATCGCAGACACTGAGATTTCCGCTCTGGAGAGGAACAGTTGAAATAAGGTGGCTGGGTCTCCCCAGAAACACCGTAAGGAGGTGCAGCATTTCACCATACCTGTGGCTGTACTCCTCCAGGCCCAGGTCCGGAGTGGCGCGCGGCGGCGGGGAAGGCGGCGCTGCGTTCTCGGCCCACCCGGCCCCGGGAAGCGACGGCTCTGCAAACCAAGGACAGATGGGGCTGCGGTAAACTGGAGGCAGAGTCCTCAGCGCCTGGGTTGCTGCAGTCCAACTCTGACACCATTTTCAGCCGCACATAAACCGACCTTGAGAAGAAGTCCTCGCAGGGAACGGAAGGGTGTGAGAGCGTGAGTCTGTGGAAGGAAATCCAAGCCCGCTCGTGTTTTGACGCTGGTGACCTGCTGGCACTCCCGGCCAGTCCGCGCACCTTGACTGCCTTTTCCAAACGGGGAAAGGTGACACACGCTCATTACCTGAGATTTGTGGGGGATTAACAGAGCTATTCCTTTCACGACAGTTTTGTAAACAGGAATCTATAATGGATGCTCTGATTATATGGTGATTTAAGCATTTGTCTTAGTAACAAAAAGTGCTTAAAAAATCATGAGATACAGTATATTTACTCATCATTTAGATACAGTACAGGGAAAAAATACTCTGTTTGCATTTGTTTCATAATCGAAATCCCTGGGTTTGGGGCCTGGGAGCAAAGGCCTGGGGTCTGAATCTTGGTTTTCCCACCCACCAAAAGTCAATACTTTTTCAGCCTGTTCTATATATAAAAAAAGAAACACATATTCTGAATATTATAACAACTAGTGACAAGTAAGGTTTATTGGGATGGTTTCTGTGTACCAGTGTGCTAAGCATTCTGTACATGATGTCACTTAATGCTCATCTCTAATGACAATATTAAATAATATATAAAAGCATCAGGGAGCATCCAGGCTAAGAGTAGTTTGTGGAGCAAGGCTGCCTGTTTTCAATCACAGCTCCTAATGCTGTTTAAACTTGGGCAAATTGTCCAACTTCTGTAAGGCTTGGTTTTTGAATCTGTAAGGTGGGGATAAGAATACCTTCATTGAAGGAATATCATGCTTATATAAGATGGTGCATGTTCAAGCAGTGATTATATAAATGCAAAGTGCTAATAAGTAAATAAAGGGTTATTATTCTATACATCATGAACTCTACCTTGCAGCTATTACAGTCAGATGGTTGGTAAAAAGTGGGCGCTCTTTGTCCCTGATTGCCGGAACAAGGAGACAGTCTCTCTGTCCCTGAAAGAGGCTGCTGGTAACAGGACCTGCTTTGACTGGCACGCGTGCCAGGTTTGATGGTCAATCTTACGTGTCAACTTGCCTGGGCCATTGGGGTACCAGGCTATTTGGTCACATATTACTCTGGGAGCTTGATTTGGATAAGATTAACATTTCAGTCAGTAGACAGAGTAAAGCAGATTGCCCTCCCTAATGTGGGCGGGCCTTATCCAACTAGTCGAGGGCTTAAACAGAATAAAAATGCTAACACTTTTCTGAGTAGAAGAGAATTCTTCTTCCCTGACTGCCCTCAAACTGGAACATCAGCTTTTTCCAGCTCTCAGACTCAAATGGAAAAATCACTTCTTTCTGGGTTTTGAGGCTTCTGGTCCTTAGACTGGACTACATCATTGACTCTCCTAGGTCCCCAGCTTGCCACCTCACCTGAAGATCTTGAGACTTGCCTACCTCCATAAATGAGTGAGCCAATCCCTTACAGCACTGCCCCTCAGCACTGTCCCCTGCACTGCCCCCTGCACAGTCCCCCTGTACAGTCCCCTGCACTGCCTCCTGCACAGTCCCCCTGTACAGTCCCCCTGCACTGCCTCCTGCACTGTCCCTTGTACTGTCTCCCTGTACAGTCCCCCTGCACTGCCTCCTGCACTGTCCCTTGTACTGTCCCCCTGTACAGTCCCCCTGCACTGTCCCCCGCACTGCCCCCCTGTACTTCCCCCCTGCACTGCCCCCCTGCCCTGCCCCCTGCAATGTTTCCCTCACCCCCACCTGGTGATCATGTGACTGGTAATATGGCAGCTATCAGGCAGCTGGAGACTTGCTGAGAAAAACACAGCAGAAAGACTGCAGTGCAAATTAGGGACTGGGACATATTGGGACATCTTTCCTGCAGGCTCTAAACTCTCTATCCTCAAAATCTCAGTCCATTTTCCATGCTGGTGGTCATTATACCTGTGACCGTGTAACTTGCGTGCTCAGAAACATTTCAGTTGTGCACAACTGTCTGCAGAATTAAGGTCTGTGTCCCTGGCCACCCTTCCATCTCCATTACTCATCAGCCACCTAAGCGTACCCACTATTCCCCAGCCTCAAGCCTGGGCTGTCCTGCTTCAGTGTCTTTGCTTATATAACTATAAAACTCCATCCATCCATCCATCCATCCATCCATCCATCCATCCATCCATCCATCCATCCAAGTCCTGCCCTTCTCCCACTGTCCACCTCAAATATTCCCTTCTCTGTGAAACTTGTCCTGTTGCTCTAAAATCTGCCAATGCCTTTATAATAGTGGCAGAGAACAGTGGTGCTCACGGTGGCTGTGTCTTTCCTTTCTTCCTGGGCACACCTGGACCCGAGACCCCCCTTCCCACCCTCCTTTGCCCAGACTGGATCTTACCGGTACAATGTGAATCACTATGGTGACTGTCATTCCCCGTCCGTGGGTAGGAAAGGGGGTACACCTCCACCGTCCCCTTTCCCATCTATCAGCTACACGCAGCTGGAGGAGGCCTAGCAGACGGCTCGGCTACCGGGGCAGGAGCCACGTCCCTCGGCCTCAGCACGAAGCACTGCTCCCTTCCTGCTGCTCCTACGCCTCACTGGGCTGTGACATGAGTGAACAAACCCGAAACAGACGCATAGATAGAGAGAGCAGAGGGGGACTGGGAGGCTGGAGGACAAAGGTGGAGGGATTGAGAAGTACAGATTGGCAGTTACAGAACAGCCAAGGGGGTTAAAGTACAGTATCGGGAACAGAGCCGAGAACACTGTAGTAATAACTCTGTATGGTGCCAGGTGGGTGCTGGAAGTATCAGGGAGAACACTTTGTTAAGTATATGACCATATCTAAGTATATGACAATCTAAGTATAGGAATGACCCTTATTTTTATCAACATCTTCTATTGTTACTTGTTTTACAGAAGCCATCCTGCCAGGGCAAGATCAGGAAAAACAAACAAACAAACAAAAACATGGGCAAAAGGGATTGTGACTTTAGACAAGGGCTCAGCAAGCTAGTTCCTTGGCTGAAAAGGGGCCCATCCGGTTTGGTACCTCAAGTTGCCTTGAACACAGTCATGCCCATTCATTCATGCACTGCGTACCACTGCTTTTGAACCAGACAGGCAGAGTCCAGGAGGCAACAGGGGTTCTATGGCCCTCAAAGCCTAAAACATCTGCTGTCCAGCCCTTCACAGGCAATGTCCACTGACCCCTGCTTTAGACTGTTCTTGAGGACACTAATAGCTTGTACTCATCTCTGCATCCCTGAAGGTGTATTCTGCACATCGGAGGTATCCAATAACCATCTGTCAGACTGAAAAGTGTACTTCAGTTTCTGATCACCACTGTGGAGGCCGTGCCTGACATGCACTGGAGGGGTGGATACATGCTCGTCCCCAAAGCAGACACTTTAGGAATAATTATACTCTTATGTTTCCTCAAAGGACCCCAGGGAACACGGATTCAGTGGGACAGGATGCAGGATGAAATGTTTGAGGGTAGAGATGCGAGGCTTCAGGAGACCTCAGTGGGTGATCCTGGCAGACCTGGGGCAATGGGTGACTGAGGAAGGGACTGGGGCACACGGGAGCTGAAATGGAGGGGGGTCCGAGGGGGGCTCGAAAGGACAGGTAATAACACACCAGAGGCAAACTGGGCTTAGGCTATTCCTTGGCTTGCGCTGAGATCTGCCAGCAGATTCTTCAGAAAATACAGTGTTGGTGGACTTCATTACCATTCAAACGCTTAACGGGATTTCACGGTGAACCCCTGGGACACAGCCTCCATCCTGATTGCCACCCTGGAGCACCACATCTCCACTGCGGGCACTGCCAGCCATCCTCCAACACAAATGTGGATTTTATGGTGTTACAATTTCTACAAATGTTAGTTCTAAAAATGCCTTCTATGTGTAACAGCTTGACAGGAATATGTATGTCTAAAAAAAAGAACTGTGGAACTGTGGGTGGTATGCACTATTATTACAAAAATGGATGGAATACAGCATATCAACATTGGATTTTTAAATATACAAAGGAAAGGAAAAAGGGAAGGAAAAAAGTTAATGTTTTGGCTGTAACAGTTCCTCTCCTCACTAGACATTACATTTTGTCAAATCAATCTTGTTTTTATAAAAGAGCTCCTTAAAAGAGTTGGTTTTGGTGAGTCAACACTCCGGTTTCATGAGTCTTAGTGACCTACCATCACCTCCCATGCATCTGAGACTCAGGAACTGTCAATGGCTCTCAGAATTTACGTTGATATTATTATTACTAAAAAGCAATGATCATGATAATTTTCTGTAGCATCATGTTTATAAGTTGTTATATATTTTTTATCTTTAAGTTAATATGCTTATATAACAAGTAAGAGAATTTTATCTACTGGCCTCTTACAATTAAAATTTTAATAAGTCTATGCTTTGATAGGCCTAATTATTTTAACATAGTATATCACAGATCCACAAGGAAATCATAAAATAGATGTTCTCCGATTTTAAGAAATAATGTCTACTGAGTCACTTCTGGGAAGAACTGGATTTTTTGTGTTTACTTTAGAACACCGAGGCTGGGGGAGGGCGGGCAGTGGACCCGTGCAGGCAGCTGGTGTGAGCACTGTTCCCCCGGATCTGAGTCTCGGGAGGAGAGAACTTCCCGGTGGTTGTCTGTAGCTGCTTGTGCCCAAAGGACACCGACTGCTCGGTGGAAAGACAAACTCTGAACATTCTACTGACGTTCCAAAGTATTACTACATTTTGTTTTTAGCACGTGTTTGGAGTGATCTTTATTATTTAAAAACTTTTCTCTGGGTATAGTCTTACACTATGGAGTTCCATAGTTTAATGATGTCAGCCTTTGTTAGCCTTCCTGGATATTATCAATTTCCTTGAATATTTCAATGTCCTCTAAAAATATACCGTGTAATTATCGCTTCAGCATCAATATTTTATAGGTACTGAAAATGAAACAAGATAGGAGGTAATGTCCCCATGTTCCTGTGGGTGTCACAGGTACAATTAGGAATAAAATTCTGGACTTGGACTGTCACTGAACATGTTGCTTGAGAATTAAATGATAATCAAGTGACATTAAAGCTAGATATTTTATTAGGGACATGGCGGGCAGAGTGCTGTTTCAGTCTGTACAAAACTTGTGGTTCTTTCCCCAGATTCTCCTGCGTTGGAATCCAAGGTCTCAGGAGGAGACTTTGCTTTGTGAAGAAAAATTTTAATTTTTAAAAAGAGACACACTGAGAATTTCTTCATCTGACACAAGTAAAGTCAGCTTCTAATGGTCATTTTTAGTATCAGGTGAGAGGACTTCGAGAGTTTCAAGGGACAGTGTGAGACGGGTCCATGCTGTGGCTCGGGGGGGACATTGAGTCAGAGACAGGAATGCATCCGAGCTCTGCATGGGTCAAGTGTGTGGGCTTGAGTTAATTATTTACTCTCCCGACTTTCTATTTCTTCATCTGTAAAATGAGGATAATAATATTGCCCACTTAGAGTGTGCATGTAAATTGCCTAGCACGTATCTAACAGACAGCACACACTTAGTAAATGGTCACAGCTGTTGCAACTGCTTTCACTGAAATGGAGGAATTCAGAGGGAAAAACAGCATCTCACTCTGATGAAACAATTTAATTTAGAGAAACCTCAGTAATCTCAGAGTTGAGAGATTGTTTCCACATAGTTAACTTCTGGTAACATCTTAAGTGTAAATAAGAGATTGATTACAGAAATAACACTCCATTCGATAGATCACTATGCAACCACTCTCCGTGATGCTGCCGAATATTCAGTGACAGAACATGGCGTTCATAATGTGCTATTCATTAAAGAGAATTTCCTAAACATGACATATGGTATATCTCACCTCCATTTTACTTTATATACACATATTTGCATGAAGGGAAGACTTAAAATATATACATAAGCCCTGGCGGGTTTCAGCGTCGGCCTGCGGTCCAGAGGGACCCAGGTTCGGTTCCCTCTAAGGGCACGTACCTCAGTTGCAGTTTGTCCCCAGCCCTGGTTGGGTTGTGCGGGTGGCAGCCACTCGATGTGTCCCTTTCATGTCGATGTTTCTCTCTCTCTTTCCCTCCCACTCTATCCGAAAAATGGAAAAATGTCCTCGAGGATAAAAATTTATATATACACACACATAAAAATGTTATTGATTAGTATCTTTGGTAGATAGAAGTATGCGCAGCATTGAATTTTCTTTTTATTGCTTTTCTCTAAATTTTTTGTAATGAATAAGTATTGCTTTTATAATACAAAAATTAAAATTATTACAGAAAGTAGATTCAGGGAAATAAACTAATTTCCTTGGTGACCTGAAGTATACTTTTTGAAAAACAAAGAAGAAAATCCAGGTGTTTTCCACCTAGAGCTCTGCTAGAATGTGGTCCACAGCAAACAGTAAGGAGACAGTGCCGCGGGACCGTGACACCACCGTCCCCACTCACACGTGGCCTCAGTCCGCGGTATGGACCACACACATCTCAGAAGCAAGCACACATCTGTGAATCACATTATGACCATTTCATGATTTAATACTAGTCTACACATTATTTTAAGTTTAGTCATTTATACTTCTTAACTTCTAATATTAAAAGATTGTAAAAAAAGCCCTAGCAAGTTTGGCTCAGTGGCTAGAGCACTGGCCTGTGGACCAGTGAGTCCCAGGTTCGATTCTGTACCTCGGTTGTGGTTTGTCCCCGGCCCCAGTTGGGGTTGGGTGGGTAGCAACCAATCAATGTGTCTCTTTCACGTCGATGTTTCTTTCTCTTTCTCTCTCTCTCTTTCTCCCTCTCTCTCTCCCTCTCTCCTGTTCTGTCTGAAGATAAATGTAAAAATATCCTCGGGTGAGGATTAAAATAAAATAAGATAAAATAAAAGACTGCAAAAAACAAACAGACATGAAAACGTAAGTTGCCATTTTGTCTCCCGAGGCATGGCTTGTTTTCCAACAACCCTCCGTGTTCCCATCAAGCACAGAACGGGCACTTGAGCTGCGGCGATGCCAGGGGTCCGTCCGCCTGACGACTCCGAGTCAGCTCATCCTTCCACCTCTGTGCTCACCACCAGGACAACCAGGTCCGCACTTAGCTTAATGAATGCCTCTTTGGTTCTTTTCTTTCTTTCTTTTTTAAAAAAATAAAACCCCATGTGTGTCTCCTCACACCACTGTGCGGGCGAGGATGGAGAGACCCTCACCTCTGTGTTTGTCGTGCGGACTGTACGTGCTAAGCGGATGCAGGGCGCCGTTGTCGGTCCTCCTGTAGGTGGTGACGGCGTTTTGACAGTTCTCAAAGGGTGGCTTAGAAAATGCCCCGCACTCTGAAGGCTCCTAAGAGAGGAAAATACAAATTACATTTGCTTTTTAAATATGTGCCCACTCGGTCAATGAAAGCAAAGCAAAAGAAGGATCGGTTTATGAATAATCTTTCAAGAGTCAATTGCACATAAATCCTCAGTGGTGGAAAATCAAAATGGGCCTATCTGTTCAAACATCTCTGAACATGCAATAAAAAACACTGACAGTGTGGTGCTGGGATTAGGAGTGCTGATAGCCAACACGAAAGAGGATTAAGGGCAGTGTCCTCTGCCCCCACCTACCGCCGGCTCCTTGGATGGCCTTCCATCTGGGAGCACAGCTTGGGGTGGTGTCAACACACGCACACAGTTCATGCCCGGCCACTCTCTGCCAGCCAGCTGGCTCCCTCTCTCCCTGAGGACTGAGTGCACATGCTCTCGGACACGTCAGGACCCACGCGGGGTGCCACTGAAATGCCATGAGTGTGCCCACCACAGACACTCGGCCTCTTGGCGAGAAGCTAAAACAAGTGTCTGCGACAATGCCAGACTGGGGATCTCCGGAGACATTTTTCTCTTTTCCCCCCATATTTCCCTCTCCTATCTTGACTTAAAAATTCCAGTCTGTAAACAAACTCACAGTTTCCTTAAAACTGGGATACCCAGAACAACAGCCCCCAAGCCACGTCCCACAGGTGTGGGAGACGGCCGGGGGCTGGCTGTGCAGAGCTATTTGCTCAAGAGGGTGAGTCACAGACAACTGGGTTTGTCCCTGCTCATGTTCTCTGTCTTCCTAACAGACTTAAGGAAGTCACTTGGAAGCCGTCCTTGGCTGTGCCCTTGACCATTTGTGCGAGGACTGCAGAGATCTGAGCCCCAAAGCTCTTTCCTCCTGAGAAAGGCATTTGGCCCAAATGGTGCATTTGATTTATACTTTCCTCTTTAGTTACAAAAACTCTGTATCCTGCTAGTTAAACAAATATTTAGAACATTCAATTTATGCATTCTTAATAATAAAATGTTCTCAGCTGCTGAAGGTCCTTTAGCTTTTGGTCAAGGCTTGTAACGCTTTTCCCTCGTCCTCTGCCTCTGCACTGCTAGCCCAGCCAATGCTGGTACTTAGCAAACGACTTGTAAGTTAAAGCCGGAGCCCTGGCAGGCAGGAGAGGTAGGACTTACCTTGTATAGCCTTGTGCTTTGTTTGTTTTTTAATTTAATTTATTGGGGTGACATTGGTTAATAAAATTATATAGGTCTCAGGTGTACAATTCTAGAATACATCATTTGTATATTGTACTGTGTGCACTATCCCAAGTCAAGTCTCCTTCCATCATCATGTATCCCCCCTTACTCCCTCCTGCATTCCTCCCTGACTCCTTTTCCCTCTGGTAATCGCCATACTGTTGTTGTGCTTTGATTTAACAACAACAAGAACAAAAAAATTTTTTCCTGCTTTCCCAGCTCTTTGATAAATGACACAATCAATATCCCAACAACTGATCAGTAACCAGCCTAATTAAAGTATTCAGCTTGTAAATAGAGCTGTCGTGGAGTCCTCCATTAGTGTCCCAGCCAATACAAAATATAATGGATTTTTAAACATATTCTGCTTCCACCAAGATGAGCTTGCAGAAGGGAGGAAAATGTTTTTGGGAAGGGAGAAAAAAACCAAAACAGGTCATAACCCATTTTTTAACACCAAGTCTCCAGGCTCAAATAGAATTACAATCGAACCTCGAGCGCATCCTTTGAAAAACATGTTTCTGTTTAGAATGATTTTGATTCAATCAAGGGCTCATTATGTATTCTTCACAAGGTCCTCATCAAAACTGTTTACGTATCTTGTACATCTGGGTAATGTGGAAAAATACCCCAACAACTATATATTTTGACTTTTCTTAAGTAGCTTCTTCAATTTTTATATCAATATAAGGTTCAAGTAACCATTATGGTATTCTTGCCAAGTCTAATTGATCTGCCTGAATGTATGAGCAGTGTGGAGACCCTTTTCTAGGTTACAGATGCTTTTTCATTGTACCTGGGGGTGACTGCTGTTCCCCACGGGAATACGCCAAAACCATGAGCGCACAGTGTATGTTTTGACACAGTAAAACACAGATTTGGGAGAGCAAATAGCTGCAGATTATTATTATTTTTTTCAATTTAATAAAGATTAGCTGTCTTTACAAGAAAAAATGCTCTTTAATCTTCATGGGTACCACAGAGATTCTCAATAGCCGAGGGAGTCAAATGCTTGCTTGTCCCCCACGGAAAGTATATAAATATTAAGAAACCCAAAAATGGATCTTGTTTAAATGTCCTCATAAAAATGGCTTTTTGTCCATTTCTTAGTCACAACTGATTCCCTAGTGAATTGTATTAGCAAGACATTTATGAGGAGGGGCAACAGACGGAAAGTTTAGTACTTTCTTCTGATGGTATAACTGTCAACCCACCCATGAGGGTGAGATTTAAAGTGAGAAAACCTGCAATAAGGGAGAATGAAAATGATAAAATGTCTCAACTAGATGAGCCAAAATACAGAACACTTATCTACGAAGCATTCCTATGTTTCAGAGAAACACAAAAAATTAGGGAAGACAGACTTGTTCTTTTTTTCTATTATTTCTTGCCTTCTGCTATCTGCACGGGTGGGTCACTCTGCCGCAGGGGCCTCCAGGCTCTTCCATTAGTTGGGGTACCCTTTTTTCCAAGAAATCTTAAGTGAGGTCAAATACACAGATGCACAAACCAGTCATCCTTTACACTGGTCTCCAACAACTGGGCCCCACGAAATCGCAGGGCTCCATAGTATGAACAAAATTAAACCAGAAAGGAGCCCATGGTCCCATGGATAGAAGCAGTAAATAAGGGTTTTATAACTATGTACATAAGTAAAACCCATTACATATTCATGGAAGTCTCTCTGTCACTTAAGCAGACACAAATGTTGAAACTGAGTTGGCTCATTATATATAGTCTCCAGTAATTGGCCAATTTACATTTGTTTAACATTTACAAGGTTATGTACAGAAGAGTAAACGGCACAGTGACTCCTTTCCAATAGCTGATAATTCAACAAAGTAAGACGCAGTGTATGCTGACTACTTCGGCTACCCTTCTCAGATGAAGCGGGCCTCAGATGTCACCTTTATTCATTCATTCAACAGTATTTATTAAGTGTCTACGATGTGCTGGGAAATGAGGGTACATTAAGGGATAAAACAGACAAAAATATCTGTCATCTACAAATACCCAGCACTCAGCTCCGAATGTCTTCACATTCCCAGGAAATGGCCAACCTGGGATTTTAACTCAAGTAATCCAAAGCTACTTCCTGCTCTTGTCAATTTCAAAACCGTGTATTTTTTTAAGGTGAACTTATTATTAAAATGAATATATTAGTATGTCTTAATAGTATTCTAACTTGGCTTATTGTACTATACAAACATGATTTGTCTTAGAGAATATATGTGTGATTTGTTGACGCTTTTCTTAACTACTACATACTTTTTTCTTCTTAATCTTTTCTTAAAATAATTTTAGCAGCATTTCATAATTTCTTCATATATAATAAAAATAATGTTAATAGAATTGTATAGTATAATATATGATTGTATAATATAACAATATAATTGTTTAATATAAATATAATGATCTACTTGTAGGTGAAGTGTTTAGGAAAATTAGCATTCAAGAATATTTTATGCTTATACTTCCCGTGTAGGTAAAAATATTCTTTACATTTAAAAAGTCCATAAAGAAAACAAAATAAAAGATTTTAAGTATATTCATTTAATTAAAAACATTCATTTAATAACATGAAACAAGCAGCTTGCTTAATAGATCGCATTTTAAGTCAGTTGAGCCCCAGTTCTATGCTGTCCACTGTGCATCGCGGGGGAGTGCGGGCAGCGGACCGCACTGTCACACCTTCACGTGGAGCACTGTACGTACCTGACAACGCTTCCCAAGGTGTGGATGCTGCTAACACATCAATCAAAAGTATATAAAGATGGTACATACTTCAATAATTTATTATGTGAATAAAGCCTTATTCATAAAGTCCAGAGCTGCAGGGATTTCAGAGGAAAAAAACTAGAAAATATGGTCCTGTTACAGTTGATAAATTACTTACTTTATATGCACATTTTTACACCTTCTAGTTATGCCTGAAATATACAACCACCTGTTCACCACATAAATCCATCAGAGAACTTCTGGGGCATATTTTTCCAATTTCAGAATCAGTGTAGGTCTAGCGACCACAATCGTGACGGAAGTTTGCATATTCAGGCAGCCGTTTGGGCAATTTGCTATGGAAATAAGGATTTGCTCACCTCTACTGGTCTGTCTGGCCTCCTCAGTATCACCAACTGGATCATCCCCCGAATGTTTCCTTCCATGGACATCGATCGCCTAAGTGTTTCCATAGCTTCGTGGTTGGACTTTCCCAAGAGAGATTCCCCATTAACTGCAATCAGCTGGTCATTTGTTCGCAGACGACCGTCCTGGGGCAAAGGAAAGAAAAACAATATTAAGCAGAGAAAAGTACGGTGCTGACAAGTGGCTGCTTCACAGACAAGTTCAAGTTTAAACACGAAAACAGAAAATAATTCAGCTATTAGGAATGATTTATTTTCTGTGGCAGAAAAAGGTTCTGGAGCTTATCAAATAGTCACAAATACAAACAATCATGAATGGTGTGAGAGTGTCTTTTAGAAATCTTCAAGTCCTGAGATGCAATCATTTAGACCTTTGTATAATGTCTCTTAGCGAGACTCTGTGGCAAGTATGCTAACCTAGTCTGTTCTGCCGTGCGCTCTGGCATGGACCACGCCGCTGACTTCAGGAAAGGGGGCTTGGACACAAAAGGACATGGGCGTATCACTTGAAACAAGAGCCTGCCTTTTTAGGGCAGAAGGACATCATGCTTAAACGCCGTGTGCTTGACAGCAGCAATGTGTCCACTGGTGTCATTGCTAGCTCTGCTGAATCAAGTTCTCATGTAATTTTCTCTAACAGCCAAGAAGCTGCTAGTCTGCTGGTATGAAAGGAACACAGAGGTGTGTGGTGAAGGCCAATTTGCTGTGCCGTCCTCTGGCAGAAGCGCTTGAGAAAAGGGATCGTCAGGGTTTACAAGGAGGTTCTGAGCGAAGAGCACGCGTATGCAGCGTCTCCAGGAAGGACTGGAACCTCAGCTGGTGGACAGGCAGCCCGGACTCGGGAGTAATTCCATTCTAGGCACCAGCCATCTCCAGCCAGAATCCCTCCCAAACCAGAGTCTAGCGATAACCAGCTCTGCTGACAAAAGCACTTGAGGGGACCATGGTACGTCTCCCCAAGGGGCAGCCTGGGAGGGGTGCTTAAAATATTGACAGTCGGATTAGAGACATTAATTATGTCTTATAACTGTTTTCCACTAGGGAAGAAAAGTTCTTGCTGTGAGGCACAGATGCAGTGTTAGGGATGTTATGCTGTCGTTGCTGCTAATAAATTTGGTAGAAGTAACTACTTCTACTAAAAAATTGATGGTAATTTTCCATCAATTACCTCAAGTGATTCTCACAGAACTTCAAGAGGTTAAGTAGATTAATGTTGTTATTCACATTTTACAGGTAAGAAAACTGAGGCCGGGAAGTGATGTAACTTGCCCCAGGTCACAAAAGCGAGCCAGAGACGAACCAAGCCCAGGCCGGTTTCACGCTCCCTCTCTGCAGTCTCCTACCACCCTACTGTCCTACCGGACACCCTCGTTACTCCTCCAGGCTACAGTTTGCGCCACTGCGATGGGCTGGAAAATATTAAAGAGTTTTTGCAGTTGGAAGTACCTGGGATCCATGTTCAAATGAACAGAAGGAAATGCCAAAGAAAAATGCTTCTTTAAGAAGGGAGACAAGCAGACATGCAGGGACTGATAGGACCAACCTGACTGCTCTGAGAGAGAAATCCCGTGCACAAGGTGACAAGCTATGACTAGTGCGGTAGCCGATGGTCAGAGGAAATGGGGGTGGACAGAGGGAACGGGGTGGGGGGGATGGGGGGGTGAAAGCCGCTCTGGGGAGCTCACATCCTCCTGGAGGCACCGCGCATGCCACCTGCTGGGGAGGGTGCTGGCCAGCTCGGCCTGCGGGACACCCGCAGGGGCACAGGCCTCGGTGGAGAAGCTGCGATGGCTCGGGGTCAGTAGGGAAGGGTGTACGCTCTGTCAAACGTCTGAGTGGGCTGTCTCAGCAGAGCGCTTTCCCTCCCTTCCTCCTGTTTCCCCAGTCTACTTAACCTTTACCCTAATTTGGAACAAATCTGGAAATGAGATTTACAGGAAAGGCCAAATGAGAAAGAAATCTCTTCATTTCTGTTATCAATTCTGAGTGAGGCACATAAAGAATAAGATTAAGGTTACTGGAAATGGGGGTAAAACAAAAACAACCTTAATGGTTTAGTCTTATGAAGTGAGACATGACTAGAGAAATTATTCTATTTAGGCATTTAATGGAAAGAACACTACTGGGCTGGACCTTGAGAAGAAGGTTAGGAGGGTCACTAGAAATCTTTTGGGGACGACTGGAGACGGTGGTTTTGAAAGAGGAGGCGGAAGCAGAGGAGCTGGATCACGATCCTAGCTCTGCTAACAGGAAATGAGGTCTAGTGTTAGATTTGTAGAGGCTCAGTCTTGGCAGGACACCTCGTCCTCTATAACAGGAAGAAGATAAAGACTGAAACTTTATGAATATTTGTAGAATGAAGGAAATGAAATCTGAGTGAGATCCCACCTGGTAACCTCCCGTGAACCTTCTCTGTGAAGTATGGGACTAGGTCTGTGTGAAGAGGTAACCAAGAGATAAGGAGATATAAGAAGTTTTATTTGTGTGTGTAAATAATCTCTTACCAACAGGTATTAAGTTCAAGTTTTTATTTTCAGCTACATTCCAAGTCTCAAGCATGCAGAACTATACTGAAGTAGAATATGCTTGTTGAATCCAAATCCCAAACAAAAAGGCAGGTCGGGTCACCCCAGGGCAGCTGGGACTTTTTTTTTTAGAAGACGTCACATTCATCCCAAGTACCACTGTGGAGCTGTGGGCATGATACAAACCCACACACTCTCATTTTCAGGCTTAGCTACTCTGTTGCTACCGATGTCTGCTTTTTCTTTATACAATAGATGAAGGATAATTTCACTAATGGTGATGCCACTAGGCACCATGTTGTCCTAACATTTAGAATATAATCACAGAATTTAGGGCTGGAAGTGTCCTCAGAGGTCGTCTTGCCCAACCTTGTCTGTGTACAGATAGATAATGGGATGGCTAAAGAGGATGAGAAACCGTTTATTGAACTCCTCTTCAGAGACGCCACTTAGATTAGGACTTGTTCATTTCGTTAAAGTCCGAGCTAGATCAGAGGAGCACAAGTCCCAACTTCTCAGTATTACCTATTCACAAACCACTCTGTCTTCCACATAGATGACCATGACTGGTCCCTAAAGCAGTAATGCTTCAAAACCAGAGAGGACACTATGTCACATGATATCTCCCGGAAGAGAACCCTGTATACAAAAACCAGTCAAATGACCAAAGACACAAGACAAGGAGACTGCTGGGGATGGAAGAGCAAGGGAGCAAGCCAGAAGAGGGAGAACAAACACCGCTCTGCGTACATATAAACCCACCTAGCTCTATATACGGACATATCCAGGCCTAGTCTGGATGAAGTTGATACAGGGAGGAGCTCATTACTCCCCATTCATCAAATATCACTCAAAATTATGTATGTCTATTCTGCTTTGGAGTAATTTTGTCAAGAAAGGTAGTTTTTTATGGTTTTATTACTTTTTCTATTAACATTATGTTTAAGAAAATGCTTAATTAAGCATAAGGATGCTAAATCTTATCAACTGATTTTATATCAGTGAATTCAACTATCCAAGGATATTTCTCAGTACTCTTAGGATATTTATTTTATTATAATTTGGACCAAATTCCTTTCTGCTATGGACTGTGTGTACCCCCTGTTCCTGCTCCTGCCCAAATTTGTATATTGGAATCCTAACTTCCAACATGAGGTTATTAGGAGGCGGGGCCTTTGGGAGGTGGTTAGGCCATGAGAATGGAGCCCTCATGAATGGGATTAGTGCCCTCAAAAAGGGGCCTGAGAGGGAGCTCCCTGTTCCCTCTGCTACGTGAGGCGACAGCAAGAAGACACCCACCTATTAACCCAAAGGGGGCTCTCGCCAGACATCAAATCTGCTGGTGCCTTGACCTTAGGCTTCGGCCTCCAGAATTGTGAGAAATACATTTCTGTTGTTCGTAAGCCAGCCAGTTTATGGTATTTTGTTCTAGCGGCCGGGACGCACTGAGACACTTGCCTTCCTAACCAAAAAGACAGCAACTACATCTCCCCTCTGGCAGTCCTGCGAACACTGTCCCTCCTCAGGCTAGGAGGGCGTACGGAAAACTTCCGAAAGGGGAAGGAGAACAGAGTCAATATAAGAAGTAACTTTTTTCAGGGCACTTTAGGACCAATGTGAGATGTCTTCTCCACGTCCTGGCTGGCTTCAAACCTCGTCAGCCCTCACCTGGTTCTAATGCAGAAGGAAGCGTGGACTGGGAGGCAAGATGCCTGAATTTTACATCTCTCTTTAACTGAACACTTGCAGGCCAGGCCTAGTGCAAATATTTTGCATACGTTCTCTCATTCATTTCTTACCACAACCCTTTGATACCACTCTCCGCTATTTCAGACAAATAAAAAGGAGGCTCCGAGAAATTAAGTGATTTGTTAAAGGGTACTGGCATGACCAGGACTACCTGTCTTTGAGTCAGACATGTACCTGTCATGCTTTGTTGCTTCTAAAATCAAAGTCCTAGAGATGATTAAAGGCACTACAATTATTAATGACAAGAATTATTAAAGATTTTCTACTCTGTGTAGTCATTGTGCCAAACCCCTTACATGAGCTATACAATTTAGTCCGTACAACAATCCTAAACATTGGGAACTATTACCCCACTTTATAAAGGAAAAAACCAAAGATCAGGCCAGTTGAGTGCATAATAAAAAGTACATTTCTAAAAATAGATTTGAACTAGGTCCGGCTCACTCTGAAATTCATGTGTTCAACCATGTTGCTAGTGAGTTTTGTCTTCTGGGGGCTGTTGGCCTCCTTTGAGTATCTAATAAAAGCTACAGATTCTCACCTCTTAAAAATAAATATTTACACCATGGTTTCTCCACAGTTGCACACTGGACCAGGTAACTCCTTGTGGTGGGGGAGTCACGGAAGCATAGCCATGATTTCCAGGGGGAGGGAGAGTCCAGTGACCGGTAGTTCAGCACCCACTACATTCCACGGTGCCCGGGTACGACCTCTGTCATGGTTGCTGGGGATACTGCATGGCTCACTCCACCCCTTTGGGCTAATTTCTTCTGGGGCCCTTTACCTCTCAAGTTCTCATGATCACGGAGGAGACAGAAAGAAAACCATGGTAAAGAACTAGCCTCCACAACG